ACAACAACTACACCCTTGAACCACAGTACAATAAAAATAGAAATTGATGCTAAGAAAATCACTCAAAACCATATAATTAAATGGAAGTGAAACAACCTTAATTTCATTATTTACCCAATGACTTCTGGGTAAATAATGAAATGAAGCCAGAAATCAAGAAATTCTTTGAAACAAATCACAACAAAGATACAACGTATCAGAATCTCTGGGATACAAACAAAGCAGTGTTAAAAGGGAAGTTTATAGTACTAACCTCCCATATCAAAAAGTTAGAAAGATCTCAAATTAACGACCCAAAAACACATCTAGAGGAACTATAGAAACAAGAGAAAACTAACCCCAAAGACAATAGAAGACAAGAAATAACCAAATTCAAGCTGAACTGAAGGAAATTGAGACATGAAAAACTGTACAAACGAGTGATGAATCCAGAAGCTGTTTCCTTGAAAGAAGTAATGAGAAAGATAGACCTTTAGCTAGACTAATAAAGAGAAAAAGTGAGAAGATACAAATAAATGCAATCAGAAATGAAAAGGGGATAGAAATACAAAAATCCCTCAGAGACTATTACAAACACCCTTATGCACACAAGCTAGAAAACCTAAAGCAAATACATTCCTGAAAACATACAACTTCTGAAGATTGAACCAGGAAGAGACTGAATCCCTGAACAGACCAATAATGAGTTCCAAAACTGAGTCAGTAATAATGAGCCTAGCAAATAGCAAAAGCCCAAAACCAGATGGATTCACAACCAAATTCTACCAAATGTATAAGGAAGAGCTGGTATCATTTCTACTGAAACTCTTCTGAAAAAATAAGAAAGAGGGACTCCTTTCTAACTCATTCTATAAGACCAGCATCATCCTGATACCAAAACCTGGCATGGACACAACAAAAAATAAAAATTAAGGCCAATATACTTGATGAACATTGATGCAAAAATCCCCAATAAAATACTAGCAAACCAAATTAAGCAGCACATCAAAAAGCTAATCCACACCACAATCAAGTAGGCTTTATTTCTGGGAGGCAAGGTAGGTTTAACATATGCAAATCAATAAATGCTAGTACAGAACTGAAAACAAAAACCACATGATCACTCGAAAGATACAGAAAAGGTTTTCTGATGAAATGTAAGATCCCTTCATGTTAAAAACTCTCAAGAAACTAAGAATTGAAGAAACATACTTCAAAATAATAAGAGCCATCTCTAACAAGCCCATAGGCAACATCATACTAAATGGGCAAAAGATGGAAGCATTCTTCTTGAAACCAGAACAAGATAAGAATGTTCTCTCTCACCACTTCTATGCAACATAGCACTGGAAGTCCCAGCCAGAGCTATCAGGCAAGAGAAAGAAATAAAGGACATTCAAGCAGGAAGAAAGGAAGTCAAACTATCCCTGTGTGCAGACAATATGATTCTATACCTAGAAATCCCCATAGTCTCTGCCCAAAAGTTCCTTGATTTGATACACCACTTAAACAAAGTTTTAGGATGTGAAATCAATGTACAAAAATCAGCTACATTTCGATACACCAACAATACCCAAGCTGAAAGCCAAATCAAAAATACAATCTCATTCACGATTGCTACAAAAAGAGTAAAATACTTAGGAATAGAGCTAACCCAGGGAGTAAAAGACCTCTACAATAAGAATTACAAAACACTGCTCACAGAAATCAGAGATGACACCAACAAATAGAAAAACATTCCATGCTAGTGGATAAGAATAATCAGTATTATCAAAATGACAATACGGCTGCCCAAAGCCATTTACAGATTCAATGCTATTCCTATCAAACTAACAATGTCATTCTTCACAGAATTAAAGAAAACTATTTTGAAATTCATATGGAACCATAAAAGACTGGAATAGCAAGACAATCCTAAGCAAAAATAACAAAGTTGAAGGCATCAAATTACCCAACTTAAAACTCTACTACAAGGCAACAATAACCAAAACAGTATGGTACTGCTACAAAAACAGACACATAGACCCATGGAACAGAATAGAGATCCCAGAAATATTGCCAAATAACTACAATTATCTGATTTTTGACAAAAATCTACAAAAATAAGCAATGGGGAAAGGACTCCTTATTCAATAGATGGTGCTGGGATAACTGGTTAGCCATATGCAGAATATTGAAAGTGGAACCCTCCTTACACGATATACAAAAATTAACTCAAGTTGGATTAAAGTCTTAAACCTGAAACCAAAATCTATAAAAACTCTCGAAGATAACCTAGGAAATATCATTCTAGACCTAAGACTTGACAAAGACTTCATGGACAAAGATGCCAAAAGCAATTACAACAAAAACAAAAACGGACAAATGGGACCTAATTGAACTGAAGACCTTCTGCACAGCAAAATAAACTATCAACAGACTTAAAAGACAATCTACAGAATAAGAGAAGAAAATATTTGCAGACTATACATCCAACACAGGTCTAATATCCAGAATCTATAAGGAATTTAAACATTTTTTTTAAAGTTCAGGAGTACAAGTACAGGCTTGTTACATAGGTAAACTTGTGTTACGGGGGTTTGTTGTACAGATTATTTCATCACACATGTATTAAGCCTAGTACCCATTAGTTATTTTTCCTGATCCTCTTCCTCCTCCCACCCTCCACCTTTTAATAGGCCCCAGTATGTGTTGTTCCCCCTCTATGTGTCCATGTGTTCTCATCATTTAGCTCCCACTTATAAGTGAGAACATGCAGTATTTGGTTTTCTGTTCCTGTGTTAGTTTGCTAAGAATAATGGCCTCCAGCTCCACCCATGTCCCTGCAAAGGGCATGATCTTGTTTTTTATGGGTACGTAGTATTCCATGGTGTATATGTACCACATTTTCTTTATCCAGTCTATCACTGATGGCATTTAGGTTGATTCTACGTCTTTGCTATTGTGAATAGTATAGTGCTGCAATGAACTTACACAAACATGTGTCTTTACAGTAGAATTATTTATATTCTTTTGTGTATATGTACAGTTATGGGATTGCTGGGTAGAATGGTATCTCTGTCTTTAGGTCTTTGAAAAATTGCCACACTTCTTTTTGACAACTTACAAGCAAAAAACAAACAACCTCATTAAAAAGTGGGCAAATGACATGAACAGACACTTTTCAAAAGAAGACATACATGTAGCTGACAAGCACATGAAAAAAACCTCAACATCACTGAACATTAGAAAAATGCAAATCAAAACCACAATGAAATACCTTCTCACACCAGTCAGAATGGTTGTTATTAAAAAGTCAAAAAATGACTGATTCTGGTATGGTTGTGGAGAAAAGGTAATGCATATGCACTGCTGGTGGGAATCTAAACTAGTTCAGCCATTGTGAAAAGCAGTTTGGCAATTTGTCCAACAACTTAAAACAGAATCACCATTTGACCCAGAAATTCATTGAATCAAATGCTGATTCTGTTTTAAGTTCTTGGACTAATTGCCAAACTGTTTTCAACAATACGCAAAGGAATATAAATCGTTCTACCATACAGACACTTGCACACCTATGTTCATCACAGCACTATTCACAATAACAATGACGTGGGATCAACCTAAATGCCCACTGACGGTATTTAGACTGGATAATGGAAATGTGGTTCATCTATACCATGGAATAGTATATAGCCATATAAAAGAATGAGATCATGTTCTTTGCAGGGACATGGACGGAGCTGGAGGCTGTTATTCTTAGCAAACTAATGCAGAAACAGAAAGCCAAATACTGCATGTTCTTACTTATAAGTGGGAGCTAAACATTGAGTACATACAGACACAAAGAAGGGAACAACAGACCTACTTGAGGGTGGAGGGTGGGAGGAGGATGAGGATCAAAAAACTACCTATTGGGTACTGTGCTTATTACCTCAGCGATGAAATCATTTGTACACCAAACCATCACAAAATGCAATTTACCTAGATAACAAACCTGTACATGTACCCCTCAACTTAATATAAAAGTTAAAAAAAAGAAGACACAAATCAATCTTGAAATGTTTTCATGATAAAATTCTATTAGGCAATAAAGTCAAGTTAATTATTTTAAAATAAAATAAATATTATGCCTTGCTGTCAGAACCCATGTTTACTGTTTTCTGTTCATTTGTTTGAGAAGTATGTTTACCATATATATTTTGGGCCTAATTCTTCCATCAAGAAGAGTGGGAACAAGTTGGCAAAAATGAAGGCCTGTGTCTTGCCCCAGACAACAGTATCAATGTATCCTTTCCAGTTTTCAACATTCCCAAAGGAGCAAGTGCCAGTCTGGTATAACCAGAAACAAATCTTCTTCAGCATTTTCCTACCTATCATGGCTCCACAAAGGGTCTTTCAAGCCCTGTGACCAAATCCTCATTATGATGCTGGAAATTCTATTACCCCACTAGAATTTTGATCATTTTGCTTAATGCTTTGTCCCTATGTAAATATTCAAATATCCTTCAAGCTAGTCATTGCCAAATATACTCTAGTATAGATTAAATGAGTTATTCAGGCTTTTCTTGCAAGCTTTGATTTTATTAAATAGGGTATGAAGAACTTGAAAACACTGTGGAGAGAAGATGGAATCAGCACTGAAAGATACAAGAAGGAGAAAATGAAAGTGGAAATAGAGAGAGAAAAGCTATTTTTGTTATTTATTCACCCAAGTAGCATTTATTGCCAAGCACAGGGGACTTCTAATCTAGCCACAATTAAACTGGTGCTAACGGATGGTACTAACCACTTCTGTATATTTTATTATTTTGTTATTCAGATGTTCATTTTTAATAGATCTGCTAATTCCAGAAAAAATATTTTAGTCAAACTAAGTAAAAGTGCCATTTTAGTTTTAATATTTTCACTTGTGCTTATAAATTGAATAAGTCCTCTTATATTTCAAAAAGTAAGATACAATTAATAGAAAACTAGCATTTATATATGATCAGTGAATATACTTTCCTAAAGTTGTCTATCTTTTTTTTTTGTTCTTGCAGCAAACAAGACTTTGAGTCTACAGATGAGGTAAGTGCAAAAATAGTTGAAAATCCAATATAGTGTAATAAGAGATTCTGATATTTGCAATAATAATATTCTTTTAGTTAAGTACCTTTACTAGACTGAAAATGCAGGTAAGTGAAAAAATTTGTGGCCATTTTGCCTTTAAAATTATATAAACACTACATATTTATAATAATTATAAAACTACTAATCATTCACAAAAAAGTTTTATCAACTGTCACTTTGTGATTTGTCTATGCTTATTGCAATATTTATTTGAAATGTTCTATTTTTCATTTCTGTGTGTACATAGTAGGTGCATTTATTTATGGGGTACAAGACTTATTTCACTGACCACATATTCTCTGCTTTAGAAAACTGAAATCTATATGATTAATTAAATAGCAAATTTAGCTTTAATATGCTTCAAAACCTTGTATGTGCCATGCCAGTCAGTAACTTAAAGTAAAAATATGTTCAAGTATTAATCTAGTACATATGCATATTATCTTAATAATTGCTTTTAATAGAATAATCAAATAGAGAAAAACCTATTTCAATGCAATAAAAAGCACAGTTCCCTCTTTTGTGATTTTAATCGTATTTTCCAGTGTACTGGTATACTGTATTCATTACAATTATTCAGTAATTCCTAAATTACCTTTAAGAAATACTTCCCTTCAGCTCCTCACTTAAAATTAGTTGAAGCTGTTTCAGTGTTGTGGTGGCAACATCACAATCTTTCAAAAGTCACCACAGCTCTATGTAAATTCTCAGTAAAACCTGTAACACCCTTAATTTTTATTTCCCAAAGTTTTCATTATTTCAAAAATGAACTTCTAGAATGTCATATCACCCAAAAAAACTTCCAGTTTTTAAAAATATACAATGAATAAAGAGTGTAAAGGTATTTAATAGACCATTTTGCTTTTGTTTTAATTTCATCTTTTTAAAAATAGAAATGGAACTTCTCATTGGTTGCCCAAAGGTTTTCCCTCGAATGCGTGGAATTCAGGATTATTTTTATACTGTTTGTAATATAATTGATTTTTTAAAGTAAGAACTGATAAGGCTAGAAATTAAACTCATAGAAACTGTTTCTCAAAAAGTGAATTAATCTTTTAATATTCCTAAAATATGTACCATTACACAAAAGTCTGTGGATTGCTTTTCTTAAGATTGACATGTATCTGTTCCATGGATAAGCCTTTTTTTCTTACAGTCGGAAGACATTGAATCATTGATTCCTAAAGGATTATCAGAGTTTACAAAACAGCAAATTCGCTACATTCTGCAGGTGAGATGGGGTCAAGCGTGGATGTGTGAAATCAACACTAACAAACAGCTTCCTAGGTTGCTTCCCTTGATTAAGAACAGAAAGTCCCAAATTAAAATCCTCTTTCCTAAGAGTTGATGATTCTTTGATTAGACTAGGGTTATATTTCAGTTTAGTGAGATCACCAAAAAGTATATTGAATGACTAGCATCTGGGAACACATTCTGGAAATATTATTCCCTTCTATAGAATGCCCTTATTTACCCCTCAGCACTTTAGTACAATCTGACCCTATCTCATAGTTTTGCCTTCCTCTTCTCCATTCCACCCTCTTTCCTACCACACACACCCTATCTCATCATTGGCAAGGAGAAATGGAAAGGCCAATTCCTTACTTTTCCAGAATTGTGGAAGACTAGAGACCACTGGAACAGTAAATTCCCCATGAGGAAGGGAGAGACCACAGATCAAGACAGATAATAAGGACTGGGCGCGGTGGCTCACGCCTGTAATCCTAGCACTTTGGGAGGCTGAGGTGGGCGGATCCCTTGATGTCAGGAGTTTGAGACCAGCCTGATCAGCATGGTAAAACCCCGTCTCTCTACTAAAAATACAAAAATAAGCCGGGCGTGTTGGCGCATGCCTGTAATCCCAGCTACTTGGGAGGCTGAAGCAGGAGAATCGCTTGAATACAGGAGGTGGAGATTGCAGTGAGCTGAGATCGCACCACTGCACTGCAGCCTGGGCAACAAAGCAAGACTCTGTCTCAAAAAAAAAAAAAAAAAAAAAAAGATAGATGCTAAGAAAATATGACTAAAGAGAAGAGTACATGTTTTTCCAACAAATGAACCTAAAGATAACCTAGTTTTGTCTGGTGACACCAATTTCTAAGTTTGATATTTGGTCTCAGATCTTTGTTGATCACCAAAGTATTGAACCTGGTATAATGTTTATGAAAATTAAATGAAATATTATTTTTAGTGACAAACAGTCTGTATTATAGATGGTGGTTTGAGGAACACATATGCTCCTCAAAACCTGAATCTGGGAGCCATTCTTGATATTATCTCTGGTGGTGGGATGTCCATCCAATGTGCATTCCAGGTCTATTTTTTTTTGAAAACTCTTTCTGAGGATCTTTGCGTCTAAGTTCATGAGACACATTGGTTTGTAGGTTTGTAGTTTTCTTTTCTTTCTTTTTTTCGGTACTCTCTTTGGTTTTGATATCAGGGTAATACAAGTTTCATAAAATGAGTTAGGAAATGTTTCTTCCATTTCTATTTTCTAGAAGACTCTGAATATTTGTTGCTAATTCCTTTTTAACATTTGATAGAATTCTCCAGTGAAAATATCTGGGCCTGGAGATTTGGTTTAGGGGAATAAAAAAACTAAATTCAATTCCTTAATAGTTACAGGGCTCTTCAAATGATTTATTTTATATTGGGTGAGTTATGGTATCTTGTGTTTATCAAAGAAGTAGTCCATTCCATCTAAGTTGTCAAATCTATGCATGTATAGTTGTTCATGTTGTTTATAGTATTTTATCCTTTTGATGGCTGTACTGCTATTCTCTATTTAATTCCTGATATTAATAATTAGTGTCTTCTGTTTTTCTTCTTTGTCAATCTTGTCAGAGGCTTATCAATTTTATTGACTTTTTCAAATAAGCAGATTTTAGTTTCATTGGTCTTCGCTATTGTTTTTCTGTTTTCAGTTTCATTGATTTCTGTTTTCAGTTTCATTGATTTCTGTTTTAAAAGAATGAATTTTAATGGTCTTACCACAAAAATGATAAGTTTCTGTTCTTATCTGTATTACGCCCTATCTTTGCTTGCTTTTGGTATATTTTGCTCTTATTTGTCTAGGTGCTTGACATAGGAACTTAGGTTATTGATTTGGAACCTCTCTTGTTTTCTAATATAAGCATTTAGTGCTACAATTTCCCTTTTAGCATGGCTTTAACTTTCTTTTGATTAATGTTTGTGTGGTTTGATTATTGTCCAACCTTTTACTATCATATATATATACATATATGTATGCAAAATTTTCATTTTATTTGAAGTGAGTATCTTATAGATACGGGAGTGGGATTTTTTTCTTTATCCTCTCAGTCAATCTCTGTCTTTTATTTATTTTGTATATTTAGATAAGTTGCAATTATTGTTATGTCAGGGCTAGATCAGTCATTTTGTTTTATTTCCTGTTTGTTGTCTCTAATTTTTGTTTCCCTGTTTTCTTTGTCCTGCTTTCCCATGGATTACTTGAACATGTTTTAGAATTCCACTTTAATTTGTCTCTAGTACCCTTGCTTGTATCTCTTACTATGGCTTTTTAGTGGTTGCTCTAAGTATTACATTGTATATTATTTTAAACCATTTAAACACTTAGCCCAGTGTACTGGTGTTGATATTTCACCAGTTTCAGTGAAATGTATAAAATTTTGCTTCCTTTACATATCTTTATTATCTGCATTTATAATTGTCTTAAATATTCTCTCCACATACATTGAGAACTACATTAGACAGTGTTACTAAATTTTGCTTCAACCACTTAACATAATTTAGAAAATTCTAGAAAAGTTTCCAGGGCAAGATGGCTGAATAGGAACAGCTCGGGTCTGCAGCTCCCAGAGAGATCAATGCAGAAGACAAATGATTTCTGCATTTTGAACTAAGGTACCCAGCTCATCTCATTGGGACTGGTTAGACAGTGGGTGCAGCCCGCAGAGGGCAAGCAGAAGCAGAGTGGGGTGTCACCTCACCCGGGAAGTGCAAGGGGTTGTGGAACTCCTTTCCCTAGCCAAGGGAAGCGGTGAGGGACTGTGCCATGAGGAACTCTGCACTCTGGCCCAGATACAACACATTTCCCACTGTCTTCAAAACCCATAAACCAGGAGATAAACTTGGGTGCCTACACCATCAGGGCCCTGGGTTTCAAGTACAAAACTGGGTGGCCATTTGGGCAGACACTGAGCTAGCTGCAGGAGTTTTTTTTTTTCATAACCTAGTGGCACCTGGAACACCGAGACAGAACCCTTCACTCCCCCGGAAAGGGGGCTGAAGCCAGGGAGCCAAGTGGTCTAGTTCAGTGGATCCCACCCCCATGGAGCCCAGCATGCTAAGATCCACTGGCTTGAAATTCTTGCTGCCAGCAGAGCAGTCTGAAGGCAACCTGGGACACTCAAGCTTGGTGCGGGGGAGAGGCATCCACCATTACTAAGGCTTGAGTAGGAGGTTTTCCCCTCACAGTGTAAACAAACAAAGTTGCCAGGAAGTTCAAACTGGGTGGACCCCATCACAGCTCAGCAAAACCTCTGTAGCCAGACTGCCTCTCTAGATTCCTCCTCTCTGGGCAGGTCATCTCTGAAAGAAAGGCAGTAGCCCCAGTCAGGGGCTTACAGATAAAAGTCCCATCTCCCTGGGACAGAGCACCTGAGGGAAGGGACAGCTGTGGGTGCAGCATCAGCATACTTAAATGTTCCTGCCTGCTGGCTCTGAAGAGAGCAGCAGATCTCCCAGCACAGTGATCTAGCTCTGCTAAGGGACAGACTGCCTCCTCAACTGGTTCTGACGCCTGGGCCCCCTGACTAGGAGATATCTCCCAGCAGGGGTCTATGGTCACCTCAAACAGGAGAGCTCCAGCTGGCATTGTGTGGGTACCCCTCTGGGATGAAGCTTCCAGAGGAAGGAACAGGCAGCAATCTTTGCTGTTCTGCAGCCTCTGCTGGTGATACGCAGGCAAACAGGGTCTGGAGTGGACCTCCAGGAAACTCCAGCAGACGTGCAGCAGAGGGGCCTATTAGAAGGAAAACTAACAAAAAGAAAGGAATAGCATGAACATCAACAGAAAGGATGTCCACACACAAACCACTTCCAAAGGTCACTGACATCAAAGGCCAAAGGTAGATAAATCCACGAAGATGAGGAAAAAACAGTGGAAAAAGGCTGAAAATTCCAAAAACCAGAATGACTCTTCTCCTCCAAAGGATCTCAACTCCTTGCCAGGAAGGTGAACAAAACTGGATGGGGAATGAGTTTGACGAATTGACAGAAGTAGGCTTCAGAAGGTGGGTAGTAACAAACTCCTCCGAGCTAAAGGAGCATGTTCTAACCCAATGCAAGGAAGCTAAGAACCTTGAAAAAAGGTTAGAGGAATTGCTAACTAGAATAACCAGTTTAGAGAAGAACATAAATGACGTGATGGAGCTGAAAAACACAGCATGAGAACTTCGTGAAGCATACACAAGTATCAATAGCCAAATTGATCAAGCAGAATAAAGGATATCCCAGACTGAAGATCAATTTATCCAAATAAAGCAAGAAGACAAGATTAGAGAAAAAACAATGAAAAAGAATGAACAAAGCCTCCAAGAAATATGGGACTATGTGAAAAGATCAAATCTACGTTTGATTGGTACACCTGAAAGTGATGGGGAGCATTGAACCAAGTTGGAAAGCACTCTTCAGGACATTATCCGGGAGAACTTTCCCAACCTAGCAAGACCAGCCAACATTCAAATTCAGGAAACACAGAGAGCACCAAAAAGATACTCCTTGAGAAGAGCAAACCCAAGACACATAATCGTTAGATTCACCAAGGTTGAAATGAAGGAAAAAATGTCAAGGGCAGCCAGAGAGAAAGGTCGGGATACCCACAAAGGGAAGCCCATCAGACTAATAGTGGATCTTTCTGCAAAAACCCTACAAGGCAGAAGAGAGTAGGGGACAATATTCAACATTCTTAAAGAAAAGAATTTTAAACCCAGAATTTCATATCCAGCCAAACTAAACTTCACAAGCAAAGGAGAAATAAAATCCTTTACAAACAAGCAAATACTGAGAGATTTTGTCACAACCAGGCCTGCCTTACAAGAGCTCCTGGAGGAAGCACTAAATATGGAAAGGAAAAACCAGTTCCAGCCACTACCAAAATATAAAAAATTGTAAAGACCATGGACACTATGAAGAAACTGCATCAACTAACGGGCAAAGTAACCAGCTGGCATCATAATGACAGGATCA